GAGAAGTGCTAAAATGGATGAAGAGGCCGGATCTAGCCACTGAATGGCCACCATGTTTACGAGGATATGGGAAAGGGATGAATGAGTCAGAAACACCTCAGAAACAGAAAGGAAACTTTAAAATAGAGTGAGATTGGAAAGCCATGAAAACAATAAAAATCTAAAGTGGGATAGGCCAATACATAGTAATATTCTTTATTGTATACCCTCTCTGGTTTGAAAAATAGTGGCAGCACAAACTGATCTTGGTTTTTAAATTCCTTTAACTTGGAGTTGTTTAGTACTTCTGTCTTCTGCATGAAATTCAGTCTCGGTCAGGTTGGCAAGTTGGGTCCAACTTACTTGCTAACTCTCGTTGGATGACAGTAGCCACCTGGAATCATGGGGCTCATTTGGACTTGGCAGGAAAGAGTGCTGTGACCCATTAGCAATGTCTGCCCGGGCAGAGGGAGGAGGAGGGGTAACCCATATGTGGGCTAGGCCTGACCACGTGTGAGGATGGCTGAGAAGGATGGCTTGGACTTAGTTCAGAATTGCTTTTACTCTGACTTATAACCAAAGCTATTAAAAAGCAGTGCAAAGGATTTGCTCTTGATAAGGATAAAAGTGGGAGAAAAGGGCTTCTTTCTGTCTCTTTTGTTTTTCTCACAGAGGACCACTTCAGTGTAGTGGCCTTGACAGCCTACGTGGAGGAGGATGACCTTAGGTCACTCAAAGGACAAAGAACTGTGGGCTTGTTGTCTTTTATGCCCAGAAACAACTTATTCTACCTGCTAAGGCTGTAATTTTACCACTCAGCAAGCCTCATCTCCCAGGTCTGATGTCTGGGTCCTGGGGTCTCTGCCACAGGGTCTGGCAGTTTTCTGCTCATGTCCACTACCTGTGGGCAGGCCTAACTATGGTTTGCCACAATGCACCACAGAGTGTCTGTGTCACAGAGTAGTTTCCAGAGTGGCATCCAGGAGATCTGTGAGCCTCCTTTGGATGACAAACTCATCTTGAAGTCTTATTGTTGATCATGAAAGGGTTTATATTTTGAGCAATTTTGTTTCTAGGAGCTTAGAATTCTCTGATTTCCATTTGGTTTAGAAAAATGGGATTGCTTCAACTTTGTATGTGAGTAGAGAAAGGAGTAGGTGAGGCAGGTAGCTTTGTGGGATCATTTGCTCAATAACCTCTACGGTAATAGTAATAGCTAATATTTGCTGAGCACCTACTATGCATGAAGCTTTATTCTTAATATTTACTTTCGTGACCTCATTAAATCCTCTCGATGGCCGATGATTGTTCATTTTACAGACAGGAACACTGAGGCTTGGATTTTCTTAAGGCAACACAAGCAGGAAGTTGTGGTTGGCTTTGAACAGGTGCACGCCTCCCTGTGTGCTGACCTGAATGGTTGTGGTAGCAGATAAGGCTGACTCCTCTGACCCCTCCTGGTGGTTTGTTAAATAGTCTTCATGGAGAACTAAAATAAAATATTTTGGTTATCTGTTCTTTTCATTTTAAAACTTTAATCTCATGTGTAGCCTTCAGATAATATGGCTACTGAAAATGTCACATTTACAGCTCATCCAAAAAGACTTTGGTTTAAAATAGTGGGTAACATTTTCCCTCTGTTTTTCATTATTTGGTTTAGGAAAAATCATAATGAGACAAAAGAAGAAATTGATACTGTCTAACATTAGTAGACTTTCACTTGATGCCAGGCGTCTCTTTCGTTTAAGTTAATAGAAGCAATAGAGACGTTAATTCTCTTCCTTCTTTGGGTGACGTACTGTCATTTAAACCAGCATAGAGTTCAATGTCCTCTCTTGTTAGCATCTTAGATTCTTGTCAGTCAACTTTGTTGCTTCAGTGGGCAGAGTCTGTGTTTTGGGGTACTGAGTGTAGAGGAGCACTGAGCACTTTTATAGCTTTACTATGCATTCTCTCCAAGATAAAACTGTCTATACTGATGTGTACCGAGTATGGGACATACCATTAAAAATCAGCTTGCCCTGAGGAGCCCAAATCTGAGGACAGAGTTGCTAATTTATCAAGATTCTAGTGAGGATCATGGAATTACCTTTACTGCTTTCAAATTTGTCTTATGGATGCCTTTTGTCTGTGTGAGGGTAAAATGGTTGAAATTTGATAGTATAAAAGTTGTTGGTTTCCTAAAAATTGGCCTTTACCAGGACTCTGTCAGTTTCCCTTGGCCAATTCCACTAGAAAGTCGTTAGCAGGTTTACATGAATAATTGCAAACTGCTGGCAGGTAACATGGAGATCTTAATCCAGTTTTTTTCAAGTGGAACTTAAAATGTATGTCTAGATAAATTCTTGTCTCCTTTGCTTTCATCCTTGATGCCTGCCCGTTTTGTCTGTACTAGGCAGACAGTAAGGAGAGAAACAATGGTAGAGGAGAAGAAAAGGAGCCAGATTGTACTTGAAAACCTTGCCAGGCTGCGAAGAAGTTGCAGTTTCAGTTCTTTCTAAACCTGGCTCATTGGATGCTCTCAGCCGTGTATTTGGAATCCGTTTCCTGCTTGGTAGTGTCTCCCGTAAGGACTTCTTGGCTAGATTCCATAACTTATCAGCCACTTTCGATTGCTGGAATAGTTCCTATTATATTATTCAAGACTCAGGCCTCTTCATTTTAGAAATTCAGTCTTGCTTGTCATGTAGATCTTGTGCCCTCCCTTCTCTCCAGCATAGGCTAGAGCTCTAGCTGTAGTGACTTGGAGTGTGTGTGTATGTTTGTGTGTAAGTATGTATGTGAGTGTGTAAAATTAGTGTGTAAAGGTGTGAATGTGTATGTATGTAAGTGTGTGTGACTGTGTATGGGGTGTGTGTTTTGTGTGTGCACGTGTATTTATGGAGGGGAGTTCGTCTTGCTCTCAGACGTCTCTTCCTCCTTCTAAGAACTCAATTCTCCACGGTGCTGGGGGAGAGGGGAAGAAAAGGGCAAGCACCTCCCAGCCATCCGGGGCAAGGTTGCAGCCTCCCCTTAGTTGACTGTGGGTTCTCGTCTTGCTCCATGTCCATGTAGGAGTGATATGGATGGTGGTCGCTTGTCACTGTTCACTGACCAGAGGCTCACTCCCAAGCAGTTCCCTAAGCATTAGCAGATCCTTTCAAGATCCAGCTGCATCTTACAGCAGCCCTGGCTGGTGGTTTTCCACTGTATTTCTCTGATGTGTTCAGCTCGTTGTCCTTCATTGTGGCAGTCCCCCATCTCTGCTACCGTCTGGAACTAACTCTTCAGCAGTGCAAGATCTACCTTCCTCCCTCAGAAACTCAAGGGGATGATCCTGGCTTCCTGTCCCTAGCAGTCTCGTGCCTGCCTCTCCTGCCCTGCTTGTCTCACTTCCATAATTCTTTTTTACATGGTCACAAGCACTGGGGCCAGATCACCAAGTCTCCTAGATAAGCAGTCATCCAACTGGGCAATGAAAGGCTGGTCTCCTCTTGACCAGTGAGTCTCTTGAGACCCCTGTTTGGATGAGCAGAGGGAACAATTGTAAACACTTCACTCCTTCTAATGTCACCCCAACGCTCTCAATCCCCCCTTTATATCGACTGGAGTGATGTGAATGGAGGCAGTAGATGGCAGGACAGACCCAAAGATACTCCTTGGCAATTCTTGTAAGTCCCGGGGGGAGGAGACCAGTCCTAAATAATGACATACTTACAATGTGACATATCGGGCCCTAGCTGCAATTCTAGGATAAAAGTTCTAGTATGTTTTTGCATAGACTTCAGATGAGTATTCTCTTCATTTACAGCCAAACCATGCTTGCTTTTAAACTTAACAAAGAGCAGAAGATAAGAACTAAAATAAGAGGCAAAATTTAAATAAAAAATAAAATAAATTCAAAGTACAAAGCAAAATATTTATTACAAATACTGCAAACTCCCTTTATTTTATTTATTTATTTATGTATTTTTAATTGCGGTAACATTGGATTATAATATTATATAGCTTTCGGATGTACATCATAATATATTTCAAATTCTGTGTAGATTACATCTTGTTCACCACCCAGAAACTAATAGTCCATCCCCTCACACCTTTAATAATAACACTAATGATAACTTAATAGGTGTCAAGCACTGTTCTAAATTGACATGTATCATCTCACTTAATCCTTGCAAAATGCTCTAAGTTCTTTTGTTATTAGCATTTATAGATGAAAAAATGGAGGCATGGAGGGATAATCTGTACTTGGACACAATACAGTGCATCAGCAGCAAATATATTAAAAAGATATTGCGCTAATGTTTATAATTAGCATTCTATGTGTGCCAATTACAAAAACAGTTTTAGGCCACTGTAGCAAAATCTAGAAATTGTAAGAGTGTGGCATCATATCCTTCTGAGAGGCAGTATGGGTGTAGTGGTTAAGAGCATAGATTCTAGAACCAGATTCTGTGATTTCAAATCTTAGCTCTCCTTTTACTAGCTGGGTGGCCATTTATGGCTGGGCTCCCTGCGCCTCAGTTTTTAAAAAGTAAGTGGTATTTAGTCTAAAGCTGTATTGGCAGAATTAAGAGAGTTGGTGTGTCTAGGTCAGCACTGTTGAATAGAAGTGGCATGTGGGCAACATGTGTAATTTTAAATTTTCTAGTAGCCACGTTAAAAAAAAGGGAAAAGGAATAGGTGAAATTAATTGTAATAATATATTTTATGTAACACAGTATATCCAAAATATTATCATTTCAACATGTAATTAATATAAAATTATTAATGAGATTTTTACATTCTGTATTTATTGTTCTGAGTCTTTGGAATCTGATGTGTATTTTAAACCTAGTCCATCTCAGTTTGGACTAGCCTCTTTCTATGTGCTTAATAGCCATGTGTGGGTGGCGGCTGCCATATTGGACAGTGCAGCTACAGGGTGCTTAGAACAGTGCCAGGCATGTGGTAACTGTTATACAGGGGTTATTGATTATTTTGCCTTCCAAATGTTTTTCAAATTGATCATTCTCTTCTTCTCCACTGAAACTCCTTAGACCAATTTATCATCATCTTTGCCAGGAACGATGGATTAGCCTCCTAAATTGGCCTCCCTATATTCACCAGCGACAGCCCTTTGCCATCTATTCTTCATACCCAAGTCCAAGAAATCTTTTCAAAGTACGTATCTGATCACATCCCCAGTGCATTACCCTGAGCCTTCCCTGTACTACATTCCTGCTTATCTGTGCTTCAACCACTAGCCTTTGATCAGTTCCCTGGACTGTCCAGTTACTTGCGGCATCCTTGGATGTGCTGCCCTTTCCTCCATCTATACTGCCTCTGGCGCCCCTATTTGTACTTCCTCCCTCCTTCCTCAGGAAGCCTTTTCTGGTGGCTTCCAGTCTCTGTCAGATGATTTTGTTAAAATGCTGTCATAGAATCATATTTTTTCCCAAAGCTCTTATCTGTTTATAATTTTGCTTTCATTAGTGTGATAAATTAATTAACCTGTCTACTGCCCCGACTAGACTGTAAATTCTTTCAGAGCAGGCCCTGTATTTGTCTTGCTCACCATTTTGTCCCCTATACCTAGCCCAGTGCCTGGCACCTTGTGGGCCCTTATGAAGTATTTTTTAATAAATAATTAAAATAAGTGAATATGCCACTATTGTTCTACAAGCCGCTGCAAAAACAGAATGAGGGGAATTTAAAACAAGGAAGAAAATACCACAAGGTCAGCTTTCAGTTTAATTTAAATTCTTAAAGGATAAGAACAGAGGGATTCTAAAATAGAATAACGTACTGTGTAATACGATTCAGAAAAATTCACAAACATGGAAATACCAACATTTAGACTGACATGAAACAAAGACATGAGCAGACTGTGTCCTTAACCCCTCCAAGCATATAAAACCAGCCTATAAAAGAGAAAAAAGGAGATAGGGAGCAGGAAGGAACATTGTGAGCCATGCTCTACTTCTCTTGTCCATGAAAAATTGAGTACGAGTTGGGTATGGAGAAGTATTGGTGGTAAAGAAAGCTTGGGGCTATATGACAGATTTTATATGGTAGTTCTATACTATTTTCTCTGTATAATTGAACTCTCATGGAAATTCCAGTATCTCAGAAAATAGTAATAAAATGAAGTTGTAATGAGTCAACAGATATGTATGTCTTTCATATACTATGTCCTGGGAATACGATGGAAAACAGACAGCTGTGGTCTTTGTCTTTTTAGGTTTAGGATGCCATCAGTCTCTTACTTCTCCCTCTCTCAGTTCAATGTCAACTGAGCTCGGACCTGAGAACTAGATTAGGATTAAAGTACGGCGTCAGGACATGTAAAATAAGTGACAGTAAAGGTGGTTCAATGAACCTCACTAATAAGGTAGGTAACTCATTCTTCCTGTCTACCTACTAGGAGATGGTGGAGAAACTGAGTCCAAGAGTTTTTCCAATATTGCTCCCTCTTGGAGTACAGATGACTACTCCTCTCTAAGAAAACATGAAAAATAAATGAGAATACCTGCTTCTGCTAACATTAAGTTTGTAGCCTCACTAGTTGATTGGAGAGAGAACACTAGAAAGAGGAGCAGGTTGGAAATGGGAGGAGGCAGAGAGATCAGATAACTTCTATTTTGGATGAGCTAAATTATATTCCTATAATAAATTAATCACAAAATCTCAGGGACCTAACCCAAAAGAGTTTTAGTTCTTGCAAACACAATGTCTGTTGTACATTTGGCAACTCTCTAGAGCAGCTCCCCTCCAAGTAATGAAAGAAATCCAGTCACTGTCATCTTGTGGCTCTTGTCTCACCACAACTTCCAGATTTCTGGGTGACTTCCTGATTGCCAGGGCAGTGGAAGACAGATCTGACATACATCACTTCTGTTTCCAGTCCATTGTGCAGAGCTAGTCACGTGACTTTTCCTAACTGCAAAGTGGGCTGTGAGGTGTTGTCTTCTGTGTGCCCAGGAAGGAGGACGACTGGATGTTAGTGGGCATTAAGAATGTCCATCACACAGATGATGCATTTAAGTTATCTCTGAAATATCCAAGTAGAAATATTCTGTATGCAGTTCGATACATGGGTCTGGAACTGTGAGTTTCAAACCTGACTGTGCATAAGAATCGTCTGGAAGAGATTGTTAAAAATTGATTCCAAGGTCCTGTTCTCAGGGATTCTACTTTGGCAGATGTGGAGTTAGGCTCTGGAATCTGAACTTGTAGGTTCTGCAGAGACCGTAATTTGATAAACTTTCATCTAGAACTTTAAAATGCAGCAGCTTAGTGATGGTACTTGGCTGCCGTTGGAGGAGATGAGATCACCCACAGAAAGAATAGTGGAGGGCAGAGTGAGAAAAAGTTTCACCCTAAAAGCCCAAGGAATTCCAAGGGGAAAGACTGTTTCAAGAAAGTGGAGGAGTAGGGATACTCATTTCTGGCAAATGCTGCTGAGAGATCATGTAGGATGAGGACTGAAAAGGTTCATTGTGTTTAGTGACAAAGTGGTATCGATAATCTTAGCAAGAGCTGAAGGCCGACACCAGATCTGCATTCACTGAAGAGTGAGCGGGAATAGAGAAACAGTGTAGACCACTTTTTAAATTATTTATTTTATTTATTTTTATTTTTCTTTCATATTTTTTTTAAAGATTTTATTTTTTTCCTTTTTCTCCCCAAAGCCCCCCAGTACATAGTTGTATATTCTTCGTTGTGGGTCCTTCTAGTTGTGGCATGTGGGACGCTGCCTCAGCATGGTTTGATGAGCAGTGCCGTGTCCACGCCCAGGATTCAAACCAACGAAACACTGGTCCACCTGCAGTGGAGCGCGCAAACTTAACCACTCGGCCACGGGTTGAGGGTTAGTAGGCCCCAATGTGGACCACTTTTTGAGGAAGTTTTGCTGCAAAGAGGAGGAGAGAGGGTGGTAGCTGAAGGGGGTAGGTGGGATCAGGGGGATTTTTTACAAATATAGGTGAGACTTGAACATAATTCAGTGCTAATAGGAAGGAGCCAATAGTGGGGGTTAAGTTGAAGAAAGAGTAGATGAGATCATCACTAGATTTCCTGAGAACCTGGGAGGGGTTAGAATATTGAAGAATGGTTAGGAAGGATTTGCTTTAGCTTGACAGAGGGAACACAACTTCATTGTAACAGGAGGGAAATAGGAAAAGATGGATATAAACAGATTGCCAACTTTGAGTGTTCACTGGAACCACCTAGGAAGCTTAAAAATATATTCTGTTCTCCTGTCCCAGACCTAAGATTCTGCTTTAATTGGCCTCCTGTGTACCCTGGGCATCGGAATTGTAAACAAGCTCTCCCAGATGATTCCAATGCACGACCAAGGTTGCCAAGGTTTTCACTGGACTAGAAACAGGCAGGCTTATGGTTCTTGTAAATTCTTAGGTCCCAGCTTACATAGCATTTCCTTAGAGAAGATTCCAGAACACCCATTAAGTTAGGACCCTGGATGTATGTTCCTATAGCACTATACTTGCTTACTCTCTTCTTTCACTTTGAATTTCTTATTTAATGCGTATCTTCCTCACTAGATTGTATGCATGTAGTTGTGGCCCCATGTGTCCTACTTACTTGCTGAATCCCCAGCAGGCAGAGAGTAGACATTCCATAGTTTTTCTGAACAAAGACATCGATCAGACTATGATATGGCAGGAGAAGGCACAGGTTGAAGGAACACAGTGGTGACTCTGGAAACTGTGCCCATGCTGGCTCTGGCTGTGTCTGGCCGTGGCTGTGTGGGAGCTGCGTAAGTGCTCTGTGCCTCTGGATGTAGAACTCACCCAACCAGCATTAATGTAAATGTCCATGTAATTGTAGCTGCCTGGCAAAATTGGCTGCAATGTAAGATGATAACAATATTTAGGATTTCTTATATAATCAAGCATAGTTATTTTGTCTGTAGTTTAAAGTTGTTTGAAGTTCAAAATTACTTGATTATAAAATTTTGGTTTGTTTCCAGATGAGTACAGGGGCTAGAAAAGAAAGGAGCCTTTCATGAGACTATTCAAAAGAATATAACTCCTCAAGGAAGCATCTCAATCCACATGTAAGTTTTTGTCCCTAAATTGGTAAGATAAACATTGCTTATAGCCAGGCATCTATTTCTTCAGCCTTCATCCAATTGTGTGCAACCACAGGCTGGTCCCTGTTATATTGTTGCAATGTGGTTGGTATGTGCGATGCTGGTCATAATTATACAACCCACGCGGTTGCAAACTTTTTGTGTAAATATTTTATGTTTTGTGGGCTATGCAGTCTCAAATTCAACTACTCACCTCCACTGTTGCCCTTTAAAAGCAACCATGGACAATACTTAAACAAATGAGCATGGTGTTGCATTGCTTCTATTGCTGTTTAATAAATTACCATGGACTGAGTGGCTTAAAACAACATGCATTTATTATCTTACAGTTTCCATAGGTCAGGAGTCAGCTTAGCTGGCTCCTCAGGGTCACACAAGCCTACAGTCAAGTGTTTGTAAGGGCTGCAGTCTCTTCTGAGGGTTGGGATCTTCTTCCAAGTTCAAGTGCTAGTTGGCAGAATTCATTTTCTTGTGGCTATCTAAGTCATGGCAGCCTGCTAATGAGACGTGAGCTATCTACTTCGTCTAACTCGTCCTAAGCAGGAGGCTGAGGAAAGGTCTACACCATCTTTTAAGGTCTCACTTGATTAGGGCAGGCCCACCAGGGTAGTCTTCCTTTGCTTACCTCAACCTCAACTCATTAAAGGCCTTATTCACATCTGCACATCCCTTCACTTTTGTTATCTAAGGTCACATAATCATGCGAGTGATACCTCATCATATTCACAGGTGCCACTCACACTTGAGGGGAGGAAAGATTATCCAGGGCATATATACCAGGGCGTGGGAAGATTGGGGGCCATCCTAGAAATCTGTCTATGACATCTGTGTTCAGATAAAACAACAGATGGAAACTGATATGTGAATATCAGATAACTTTTCACCTGTCACAAAAATAATATTCTTCTTTTGATTATTTTTTCAACTCTTTGAGATTGTAAAAACTGTTCTTATGGGCTGGAAAAAAACAAAAAACAAAAAATAGGCCATTTGTTGGATTTGGCCTGTGGGCTGTAGTTTGGCAACCCCTGATATAATCTATGAAATGGAGTAAGATGGCCCTGGTAGTCTAGTAAGAAATGGTTCCCAGAACCAGATGCTAGATTCAGAGGATAGGGCTTTGCAATATGAGAAGTAGTGCTGGCGTCACAGGGTGATCTGTTGGGGTGTAAGGCATAGATCTGTCTCTCAGAGGTTGCTACCTGTGGCCTGGCAGGGTCTGACCCTGGACACCCAGAAGACCAGAACCCCTGTCTTAAATCCATTTCCCCCGGGGGGTACATGGTGAAATCTGAGAAGCTGTCCTCACCGAGCACTCGCTAGCCCGTATCTCCAGTTGCTTCCTGAAGGTGTCTTCTGTGTGCTCATTGATGCAAACTGTAGCTTCTCCACGTTTATCTGTCCAAGTGCTTATTTTCTTGAAGCCTGCGGTCGAATCCTCTGTGGGTCTACCACAGCTTCACATAGTCAATCAAAGAGCAGCATGCTCTGTAGTTTCACTGAAACTATGAGTACTGTTTTTCATATCACAAGGCACAATCATAGTTTCAGATATTTGGATGGTACATTTAGGCTAATTTTCATATTGTTTAAATCCAAATTTTTGTCTATGCAAACAAAAAGATTAGCAACTGTGAAAAAATTCTTGTTCTAGAAGCTCAAGACAACTATAATAGTATTGTGTGAAACATTAGATCTTAGAATCATGATATACTTGTCTAGCCACAAATGTGCTGAAATGTTTATGTGGTGCTTACTATGTGCCAGGCACTGTTCTAAGCACAAATATTAACTTATTTAATCCTCATAATAACTGTTTGAAGAGAGTATTGTTGTCATCATCATTGATAAGGAAACTGAGGCACAGAGCACAGTTAAGTAACTTGACTGATATCTCCTGACTGATAAGTGGCTGGTCTGGGATTCGAACCCCAGCAATTTCTTTCCAGAGTCTGTTCTCTCAACCACTATTTGTGCTACTTCTCCAGCATATAATAATAATTTTAAAATATTTCCTGAATGTGCTGATGTAATTCATGGTATACAAATAATTAGTAAGATATTTTAATGAAAACACTAAAATTAGTGTGAAAGTTCTTGAAGGTGACATCTTGCCAGGTGACTGAAGAGGCCGATTAAATGACCGTCTTTCTCCAGGCTAAGCCTCAGCAGGCTTGTTGATTAGCTCGTCAGTGTGTCATCCAGTGTCTCTAATGCCAGCTCTGAGATTCTTTTCCAATAATGGCAATATCAGAATCTTGGTAAGGATCAGTTGCATGGCACACATTTGCAGCAACTGTATTAATAATTCATCAGATTTTTTTCAGTTGATGTAGAATTTGTTATTGTAAAATTATTCAAAATTTGTTATATTTCTATGATATGAGTGAAGACACTGAAATAATTGTGTGATTTTATCAAAGACAAATTTGGTCCTATTCAAACATAAGATTTCTGATACAGATGCCTGTTCTCAGAAGAATACTAATAATGTTTCAATCATCACGTGCTTAGTTTTTATCAATTGAAAAAGTTCCATTGTCAAGACATTTTCCAAAGACCCTAAATGAAAACAATGCCATTGCAATTTTCCATGACACTTCTTCCAAAGTGGAGGGGCAGAATGTTTCTCCATGTGAATCTTTGCATTTTAATCAGAATTCAAGAGAAAGATTATAATGTGAATGGTTTCATTCTAAAAATAAAAGAATTTCAGAAGAAAATTGCTAATAATGTTAAATATCCATTGTGATGTGGATTTAGTGAAACTGATAAGGGAATGGGAATTGAATTACCTCCCTTTAGAAGGGACATATTGAAAAGCTTTACTTGGAAAAAAACAAGAAAAACTTGTTAAAAGGCCCTGAAAAGGATGATCTGAAAAAAGTATGGAATATTTCTAGGATATTTTATTTTCTGTTACTATGAAGACTTTTCAAAATGAGATCCTTAGATTATTACTTGAATACTTATTTGCTGAATAGAAGCAGAAAAAAATAAGATTCTCCAGAAATAGTTTCATAGAAAAACAATACCATTCCAAGATTTCACACCACTTTCTAGGACTCCAGTACATCAGACCATTTTTGCTAACAACTTTTGGGGATTACTAAAGTGATTGCTATTAAATCTTTCTTGATAATCCAAATGAATTACTCAGACTTTCCAAAAGATGTTTGACAAAAATAAAGAACAAAGTCTAACTTCACAAGGTGTATTCTACAAATGAGCACAAAGATGGAAAACTGTCATCAGTTTCAACAGCGATGATGAAAGTGATAAAGGTTGTATTAACCCACCTGTAATATTTTGCTGAATTTTGTATTCATTCTCATATACATTTACTCTTGTCAATAAAAGATGACTGGTTAAATGTATAACTCATGCAATTTAATTTCTCTAATTTTTGAGGCTTTCTAAAAGTAAATTCACAAATAAAAAGTTTCACTTGTCAGAACATGAATTCAAATTTTGGGTCTGTAAATATGGTCACCATATGAGTGTTCTGGACCAGAGAGAGTGTTCTGAGCCAGAAAGAATGAAGTAAAGAAGGAGTCACAGTGGATGTAAATGAAAGAAAAATGAAGTGTGGGTGATTTGAAGATTAATGGGGCCTTTTTTCTGTCCAGAAGAAAAACATTGCAGACATGAGATGATTCTTGATAAGGTAATAATCACTTACTATAATCAAACTCTAAGTACTTCAGCCAGAAACTACTGAGCACCAGGAAAGAGCTATTAGGCATTGTTAAAGCAATTGATCGCTTCCATCATTCTTTGTATGGCTGGAATTTCACAATCAGAACTTATCATACTGCATTATGAGGCCTGCTGAAATTCACAAATTTGGAGGGACAAATTGGCTGGATGATTACAAAACTGTAAGGCTATCATTTCCGAATTGAACATTGACAGAGAGTAAAACAACATTATAATGCACATACATTATGTAGGCACCCCGTGTTGGGATAATTCTTATAAATCTGATATTAGGCATGAAGAAAAGAAACACATAGTCTAAAAGATCTGGTAGTTAGTGTTTTGGAACAACCCAAAGGTTTCTGGCTTGGAGGGTGGAAAACACTCCTATTTCCTGAATAGAAATTTATGAAATGGTGCATTCATTGGTTCAACAAATATTTATTGAGTGTGTACTCTGTGCCAGGCACCATTCCAGGCATGATGGATACACTAGTGAGCAAGATGAATCACACAGCTAACGGTCCAGCAAATCCACAGAGATGGAGATAAAAATATTATTGTGTGAAAGCTGGGTTGACTGAGTAAAAAAGAAACATAAATTTTATGAAGAAGAGGTATCTAACGGTATTGCCACTATAAAACACTACTGGATGCTGTGTAAGTACAGTCGAACTATTAATTAAAATTTCTTTTGCATGGAAGTTAGATTTGAGTGAGTAACACAGGTTATGCCAGGGAATTGGTTGTGCTTCTTTTAGAAAATGTAATATTTAACTATGCACAACCCCAGGATTCTGTTCATCTAGTTTTCAAGAAAACTTAGGCCTTTACACACGATCAACCAAATTAAAACTGATTGCAAAAAAGTGGATTTAACATATATAACCTAGAAAAATTCCACTTTTGAGGAAACCACAAACTCCATATAGTTCCACTTTATATCTTCTTATAGTTAAAAGTGTTTCTGAGGCATCCACAAATTTTAAAAATATTTCTGATGTACTGAATTCTAGATGTTTGCATTGTTTCTCAGATGTATCAGGAAAATATTCTGATAGTTTTCTACAAAAGACTAGCCCTGAAAAGCAAATTAACATTTCCAAGCACTTTACACGGTGCTTGGCACATAGTAAGTGCTTTTAAATATTTATAGACATGAGCAAGCAAATTGGGCATGGCAAGTTAGCATCACAATAATTAGGTAGTAGGAGCAGACCCAGTTTTGTGGAATCTGAAGCTTATACAATTTTGGGAGCCCTCTTTAAAAAAAATTACAAAATCATATGTATAAAATTAGGCATGAAAGAGAATATTTAGGAGAAAATAAATCACTACAAGTTATAATACTTAAAAGGATCAACAATTACAAACAACCCTTTTTTTTTGTATTATGTTTTTGCCTTCCACGAGAATGTTTTATTTCATCGTGTTTAATCAATAATCTGCAAAAATATACAAAATGAATCTGAAATTAAGGCATACAAAAAGGAATACAAGTGCATTTTTTAGAGGCTTTTGTGTTGTCTTGAGCTACATAATTGTGTAATCAAATTACTCATATTATATGTAGTGACTTATGAGTGTTGTCATTGGAGTACTGTTTTCCAAGCCATTTTGCTGTGTTGGTGGCAAATTTGCATGCCATTTCATCTGGAACTCCAGACGTCATGGGGACAAGATGTTTCGGATATGGTAAGGCATGATCCGATATACACTGGGATGCGTAAAACAAGTGACCTCACACACAGATATACTCACCGCTTATTGTGCTGCTAAGGTTTGTGTCCTATAAACACTAGAATTCTGTAAATTCAATTTCATGAGATTCCCATCAAAAAATTGAAATAATGTGTGATATGTTTATAATTGTGTGTGCTGCATTATTGAGCCTATGTCTAACAGGATGGAATTCCTGTTTCAATTAGGCATTGTTCAGAACTGAATCATCCTCTTAAATTGTACATGTCTGATAATCGGAAGAATCCTCCACAGACTAGCTATATTTTAAATCATGTTTTTTCTTCCATTAGCCACAATCTACTAGTGCTGCATGCTACAGGATGTATTCATATTGCAGTTCTACTCCTGGCCCTGGACTTTCATGTTCTGACACTAGGTGAGTCAGCACGGTGGGGGGTGGGGATGGAGAGGGATCAAGTGACCTTCTGATTTTAGGTAGACCAGTTTATTCATATGTTCCAGACTTGGGGCTGAGTGTCAGTGTTTGGGTTTCATAGCATTAGGATAGCTGCCCGTGAATGGCACCAACTGCTCTAAGACTAGCTCCCTTTCCCAGACCTGCTCTTTGGCCAAGAGAACTTTACTAGTGGATTGGCACCTAATGTGGACACTGATTTGCACAAATGGTGCCATAAAAGGCATCCTTCAAGTTCTTTTAGTTTGTAACTTATCAATAAAGGGAAATCAGAGCTTATATGGCAACTTGGAGATGGAGGCAGCCTGTCACCAGGGATTGTATTTATGACCTCAATGCATCAAGGTCACAGACGTAGATGCAGTCTATGCAGACGCAGATTCAAGCAAGAGGAGGGAATTGTCAGGAGGGCTCTCATCCTAAAATATCACTCCCCTGGCACTGCTGTCATGCCCTGGACCCTTTGGCCCAGACCTGCCAGTTCTCTTCCTATCAGGGCTGGATCCTACTACTCATTCCTCCAGTCCCTAACTGGGGTCCTTATCCATCCTAAATGCACAGCCTGGGCTTTAGAAAGTGGCCACCCTCCTGCCCAGAGACTCTGCTCACTCACCAACTTCCAGATCCATTCAGCACAGATGGAGCCTGAGTTCTCTGCAATCTTGGGGACTGAGGTCAAACAGTGCCTTTCACTTTCCCCTTATGAGCAAACCTATGACTGAGTTTGCCTCCCAAGCCTGGGACTACCTTTGTCTCCTCACTGGGCACTATTACAGGATCTCTGGTGGTCAAGATTGGGTGCGTTTTTATGGACTTCGTGGACTGCTCTCCTCACAGCCATCCCGGAGACTGGGCACTGAGAAAGATGACACAAGACCACTTGGTCTCAGGCTTTACCTTCCTGGACAAGTACAGACATATGCACGGGCACAGGAGGGCTGAGGCCAGGGAGGAGCCGCCCGCCCAGGGTGCCCAGGGCTGACACCAGGTCCAGGGCCATGGGTGATCTTCCCTGGGAGCTAGTGACCCTGTGATGGTGGCAGTGGCACTTCCCTGGGTGTTGGGAGTAACAGAAACAGAAAACTCTGGGGACATCTATCACTCTTGTTTTCAGGGTTCCCGTGATTACACATGGTCTGTGCACCTGTCTTGCTCACAGTTTAAAACTAGACTTTTTAATATGTATATTATAGCTACATACTGTTTAAAAAAAATTGCCAGGAATTGATTCCCTCAGATCCAGACTTCTGCTCATGATAATAAGCCACAGATGCCACTTTCCCCACTGCTCTGCTTGGATTCCAGGGGAAAAAGCTTGTCATCACACTGTGCACTGGTCTTTCATGTGTCTTTCTCCTCTACCTGGGGTCCACTTTCTCCCCCTCTCCATCTGGCTTCATCCTTCAAACCTCCTCATCTGTCACCTCTTCAGGGAAACCTCTCCTGACACCCCCAGAGTCTGGATTAAGTCCCACCCTGCATTGTCCTATGACAGCCCTGCCTGCCTCCACCATAACACCTAACCCTCTGTGTTGAAACTGGCTGCCTACTCATAAGAGTTCCCGGAAACTCTGTGGCATCTTGAAGAGAGGAATTGTATTTAATTGATATTTGTATTTAAAATTGTATTTAAAAGATAAAAGACCACTACATCTTTTATCTTTATATTTTGATACCTAGTGCCCAGTAAATATGCAGTAGATGTTTATTGAATGAGTGAATAAGATTTATTGACCTTTTCGGCATCAAACTATTCCAGACCCCAGTGATCTCAAATCCATCATCATATTCTGCACAAACTGATTGAATATTGATCCCTTGCTATTGCTTCAAGTTTAAAAAAAACACCTTTCAAAATACGATGTGCAGCTGTAGAACGATACACAAATATCAGTGTCATTATTTTATGGTCATCCTCCACAAGTGACTAAAAAAATCTGAAATGCTTGAGTTGCAGTCAGACTTGAACACTTGCTTCAAAAATCATAACTTGGTTTGCTAATGTAAAACAAATAGTTTCAATTGAAAACGTTGGAAAGAAGCAGGCTGGCCTGGAGATTTGCAAATAGTATTTGATTTTATTTCTATAAAACTTCACCAGGTTTGTTCCCATGTCCTGATCTTCAAATTCTATTTCTCAGTGAAATTTGTACCCGTGTCCTCAGGGACTCTTGTTGTTGACACAAACCTGCTACACACACAAGACTCTATGCAATTTATCCAATTCCACAAAAGTTTCTTGAATACTTACTACTCACATTGTGCCATTATTGAGAAAAGGTCACAGAGTCAGGATATTTGTACACCGTATATATATATAATATTTCTTTTGAGGAAGATTAGCCCTGAGCTAACATCCACCACCAATCCTCCTCTTTTTGCTGAGGAAGACTGGCCCTGAGCTAACATCCGTTTCCATCTTCCTCTACTTTATATGTGGGCCGTCTGCCACAGCATGACTTGATAAGCAGTGCATAGGTTGGTGCCCAGGATCTGGACTGGTGAACCCTGGGCTGCCGAAGCAGAGTGTGCAAACTTAACCACTATACCACTGGGCCAGCCCCTATTTTTTTTTTTTTTTTTTTTACTATTCCTTCATTTCTTAATTCAACAAATATTGTAAAGCTTTCACATAAGTTCATAAGGTACTGCTCTAAATGCCAGGGGAGGCAAAAATATCAATATGTTCCTGATTTCAGAGAAATTATAATTTAGGGAGATAAGATACACAGGCATAACATGTTTATCATCAACACTGAAGTTTAATAACAACATGTAAGAAACATCCTATGATCAAGTCCCATCCTCCCTGGCTCTCCCTGGCCCTTGCCGCCTGCTGGGTTTACCCTCACAGCAAGCCAGCTTGTGCTAGAAAGACAAAGGTTTCAGAAAGGGGCAAGTTATCAGCTTCAGTTGCTTCACCTGCATCTAGCATGCATAGAATTATCGGGAAGAGGAAATGTGGAAAAGTGTCTAAAAGTGGTGGTACAAAACTCTCAATTCCTATTCCCTTTCTTCCCCTTTGCCTCAGCAAAAAAGAAGAGGAGACACATCCTGTGTGCCTCCCTCTCTACTCCTCCCTTCTGGGAAAGACATGCCCTCAGTGGACTTGGGGATAACAGTGCCACAGGCAAGCAGAGCAACTCTGACATCCCTTACAAAGTAGGCAGAGAGAAGCAGTGCTGCCAGACTCTTTGAGGAGGTCCAGAGGGACTTTTCCTTTTGTCCTATAATTGGATGAGAGCTGAAAACAAGAGGAATTAATTATAGCTAAAAAAGTTCACAACAGCCTGGTTGCCAGCCACCCCTTCTCTGGGTTTATGCAGCAGCCACAGCACCAGCTCCAACACAGTCAACCACTAACTACCCTCCCCAGAAGAGAGCACTGCCTGGTGACAGAAAGAGTGGCCAGGTTCTTCAGTCTGTAGAGTGTGGTGTTGGTGATGAGAAGATTTCCACTCTTTTCTGTGGGGGAGGGAAGAGGGGTGCATTCTTCACCTACTCCCAAGTCTAATTAGAGTGAAGGCAGCTTTGAGAGACTCTTGTAGAGATTGCGGATGTTTGCAATAAGAGGAGAAAGGCATCTCGCTGCCCAGCTGAGTTGTCATTGCTCACCCTGGAGCTGGTCAGAATGGGGTATGTTGAGGGGATCTTTGGGGGAACAAGGGTGAGGGTTGTACTCAACTATAGAAATTAGGGCCACTTCTCTTCAAGAAGTCAGAAGAGTAGTGAGTATACCTGGGGAGGAAAGGATGAAGGCAAACTCACTCAATTCCCAGAGGCCCCTGGAGGATATGGAGGAAATGGAACAGGACCACAGTGTTTCCCAGGGTTCCCAGGAAGGAGCAGGAAGTTGGAGGAGGAGCCTGAGGCACAGAGTGGCCCTGGTAGCTGCTGGGTCCAGCCAGGATGCCTTACTCAGAGAAGTGACTGAAGGCAGGGATTCCTGGTGGGGCCAGGAGTCATGACTCCCTCTTTGAGATGGTCCTTAGAGACAGGGTAGCTGGGGTGAAGCTGAACCTCACCCCAAGAAAGTCACTTTTATCATCTACACAGGAGACTACCACATAAAACCAGACCAAATCAGGATGAGGTCGGAGCCCTCTCCGCTGTGGTGCCACTCCCACCAGAGAAGCCAGCCTGTAGGAGGAGTGGCTGGAAATGTTTCAGAGGAACACCAAGCCAGTACCCTGATGCTCTCCCCCAGCCTGCCCTGGAAGAAAGGGCAAGAAATGAGATACCTTTGAGAGAAGCTTGAAATTGGACTGGACTTTTAATAATCAAAAGGCATTGGAAGTTATAAAATCTGCCCAAGATGTCATTGAGGAACCAGGAAGGAGATTTGACTCAGGACAGTTGGAAGCAGTGATGGAAGAACGCAATAATTTCATGTTTGTACTACTACTGAGAGTCCTTAACAAACCAGGCCCACTCAGGGACGCACATGCACAGAGCTGCTCCTCTTCAGGGACTGAGTAGACTTGGACAGGGAGCTCATCTGCAGGGTCAGTGCTGGCTGGCGCCCAGACGTGCCCTCCCCACCCCAACCCCGATCCGTGGCCTCCTCCGAATGTGACTTCCCAAGACCCAAGCAGTAAGAACCTCCAGTTTAGCAGGATGAGGGCTTAGATCAAATTAAATTAAGTTGAATTTAAAAGGGCTGCCTGCATAGTTTCTGGAGCCAGAATCCTGTGTTCTCTTGCTTAATTTTTCAACCTCAGTTTCTCCACTTAGAAATGATAAAAAAAAAAAAATGATAAAAAAGATGATTAAAAAAATCCTGCCTTTGAAGGTTGCTTTGAAAAGAAAATGAGTTTATGCTTATAAAATAATGCCTTACATATAGTAAGTACTAAGACTGTATTTTTCATTTTCTGAATAATTTAACTTTTAAAGTAAATATAAAGTAATGGGATGTTTCTTACCTGTCCAGACATAACAAAGTAACAATTATTCCTGCA